TGTACGCACCCAATGCATCCCCCCCACCCTGGATATGGGCCTGTCAGTATTCGCACAATAGATATGCATTAGAAACCGCTATCGAAAACGTACTGAAACCGTACCGTAAGGTTCCGTGGAGTGCGAATAGCCGGTTTGTTTGTACTGTATTAGTTTTCTCCAGTAAACGTCGCAAATAGGGGCCTAGCTGGTATCGATGATACTTAATGGTGTTTATTTTATGATTAGTCAGTTCTTTATATTGACGGTAGCTTTCGAATAAAGGTATTGTCTAGAAATCCTGGCATACTTAGTTGAGGGTCTTAATTTGCGGGGTCTGATATTTCGAGTGGGTCTGATATCTCGTGGTCTTGGGTCTTAGCTTTCATGGTCTGAGCTTTCGGGACACCCGCTGCTTCAAAACTGCCCGTGCATGTCCCTGCGCATGCCCAGAATGATCTAACAGGGATTTTCCACACATGTACAGTACTTGTCAGTAGTGAAGTCACGATGCGATTGTGACTGCGTTTAAACGGACGGTAGGATTAGGCCTACAATATGTTGAATTTTGTTTTTAGATAATAAACAACATTTTAAATATGATAATAATATTGTAAAATGAAAATAATAGATTTAGATAAGCATTACGATCTACGCGGCCCACGTGGCTTCAATTGGGCGATGTTGTAGGCCTTGGCTGGCTAGCGTCATTCCTAAGCCTAGCCTACGAAACGACTAGGCGAGATTGAAAGACAAGACGATTGTACACAAATCGTACGTACTGCATGCCTATTAGAAATAACTGTACAAACAAATCTGTTTTATGAACCACCAATTTCCTTGGTTTGACAACGTACATGAAATTTAGTGTCTGCTATAGCCTGTTTCAGTAAAAGTTTTGACTTTCCAAGCAGAAATCAGGGCCAAGGTCGACAAAAAATTGCCGTCCTGTAGCAATTCTGGCTCGGCAATATGGTGGGCAATTGCCGATTGCCAACGTGTAATTTTTTGGGCTGTGGTTTATGCTTACAGTATATTATTCAATAATAAATACCGTACTCACACAAATAAGCGCCCCTTTTAAATAAGCCCCGATGTTCTTATATAATATTTTTTTCATTCATAAAGTGCCTCTTTGAATTTAATAGGTTCTCAAAAGAACCCCTCGATTTTCATCTACTTCCGTAAGCGCCCCCGTTTGAATAAGCACCCCTCAAAAAGTTCCCCCGGGGGCTTATACGCTTGAGTACGGTACTTATAAAAATTATTATATAAACTTCTCTTAGACCACTTACACTGAACATTTAATAGTTCAGTTGGTGATGTACGAGTTCCAACGATGTTGATTGCTTCACACCTGTAGTTTCCTCTATCACTCATCGTCACATTGCTTATCTTGTGAATGAAGGCTTCTGTTGTTTCATTTGTAATAAATTGCTCATCTTTGTAGAGGGTAATTGTTGGAACTGGAGTGGCACTTACAGAACATTCAATTGTTACATCATTACCTTCAGTGACAGTACTGTTTTTAACGCTAATCATAACATTTTCAATAACTGCAAGATAAACAAAATATCAGAAACCTTATTAACAACAAATGAGCATCTATCTTGTCTAAGGGGTCAGCCATTATTTTCATCATTTTCATGATAGTTAAATAGCGAAAGATAAACTATATATTGTGGATGCACGATGGTGTGAATTGCACTATGGGAATTAAAAGTCAATAATAAGGACTATATACTTAAATGGAAAACCCTCCCCCATGGCCACTTTAAATACTGTCTCTTATACACATCTAGATGTGTATAAGAGACAGACCATTTACTGTGGCCCTAGATATATTCATACCTTATATTTTTATGATTTAATTATTTTTCTAATTAGCAACCAAAGCTGCTAAAGACCAGGAAAACCCTAGTCCCAATAGTAGTCTATAATTTAATTGCAGAGAGCCTGTGTTTTAATTACATTTTTTAAATAGGATTACTCTGTAATAAATAACAATATTTTTATTTTAGATATTTTATTTTTTTAAATTTTGCAGTGCAATGCGAGATCAATACATGCGAACCGGTGAAGGATTTTTATGTGTGTACGCTGTGAATAATGAAAAGTCATTTGTGATTTTAGTAATGTAATTCGACAGGCAAATTACAGTAATATTTTTAGAAAATTTCTTTGGAAAAATTTCGTAGGCATAGGGCCTAGGCCTAGCTAGGTATACAGTAATTTCATTTTACAGTAGTTTGAAACGATATCAGGAGTGGGGGTGCTGGCAGTGGCCTACTAGGACTACAATTTATTTGAAGCTATCTTGGGTCCGATCGTCCCCACAAATTGGACCCAATCGTCTGTCACCCGAAGTTTTCATTACGATTATCAAGAACGTACACGATCTAGGCCCTGGGCTAGGCTTTGCTTGCTGTCGTCACTCTGCTACGTATACTACTAGAGCATAACAAAGAAAGCGACCAACGTGGTGCATTCTTAAATATTACACACATTTTAATTAATTGTATTTTACGACAACACGATAACACGATATTATTGATTGAACGATCTAATTACCCTCGCATCGCAGTAACTGAACTAGGCCCAGCTTAGGCCTCATGTATTTGTGGAAAGCTAGATAGTCGTTATGTACCCGACAGTCGGCTGCCTTTATATTTTCACATTTTTTCAGTTTGCATTCAAAAGGTACATTGCTGCACAGCCAACTGTCGGGGATATAGTACCTTCATATGACTACTCATACGTATACAACAGAAAAAAACCTCGCATGGACTTAGTGAAAAATGGAGATCTAACTGAAAAAACTATGTATTTCAGCAAGTATTAAAACATTTTAGTTTTATTTTAGGCCTTCTTCAAAATACCTATGCCTACAGCAGTTGATTTTTTTTGCCGTAAAACCAAAATAGTTTCATCCATGCCGACATTCCGGTCGGTTAGCGTGAGTGCCGACTTTCCGGTCGGTTAGCGTGAGTCCTGACTGAACTCTGCAGAAACTTCACATCGATCTTCCCATCGCGATGTAAAACAAAATGTCGGAAAACTTTCCTTTGACGCATGCGCATTTGCATAAATGTCTACACACACACACACTACACACAATAAAAAACAAAAGAAATGTGACTAAGAGTGATTACAATAGTTCCTATTACATGCATAGGAACTAAAAAGGCATGATATAAAGCATATTTTAATTTTGATGCACACGAACGCTCGCGTTATTACGCACGCACAAAAGTATAATGTACATAATATTTAACCATGACCTGAAGTTTATGCCCACTAAATATGATTCAGAAATCACGAATGATTAAGGTGATTATGGGGTCATCAATGGTTTGACGAAAGAAAGATGAGGGGTGTAAGGAAAACCCTATATTTCGACCATGATGATGTCATCAAAATGTGAAGTGTCACATATATGAAAGAGAATTGCCTCAGCTATACCATACTAAGAGTTGGAAGAAAATCGACCAAGAATAAGCGAGATACGCTCAAATGCGCATTTTTCTAAAATGACGTCTTCGATAATACTCAGTTTGTTGAATTCAGGTGGCAATATGATGACGTCATAATGTCCAATCAGCCATTATGACCTATAAAATCATATTTACAACTCGTGTGCTTTCAGAAAAAGTAATAATAATTGGGGGTCACCTTTCATCCTGAGGAACTGTAACTGATTAAAAAAAGGTAAAATTTTGACTCATTTTGACTGAAAATTGACAAAAACGTGCAAATGCACACTTAACTTAGATGTGCGCGTACTGCACTATTATTAGACGTAAAATTACTGAAAAAATGCAAATATGTCATTACAGTGTAAGAAACTCAAAATATGTCAAAAATTGTAATTTGAGTCATCTGCGCGCGCGCGAAAATGCGCGCGAGCTGAAAATTTGTTAAAAAGTTGAAATGCTCAGAATCACCTGAAACGTACACAAATTTAGTCAAAACGTGATTTTGAGCAAATTTAATATTTAGCGCACGCGTACGTGCGCGCAATGAGCTGCAATTCGGACAGCACTGTGCATATGGATAGTACTTGACATAAAAATTACTTTTGTTAAGTTTCAATGAAAAAGTCTTTACGGTGATGAATTTATGACCAATCAAACATTTTGCTACGTAAAACGTAAAATTGCGCGTAGATGACGTCACACGTGACTGATCACGCTGAAAAGCTTATTGTATCGATTCCACCCCAAGAATAATGATTGTTGAGGATATCATGTTGATTGGTTAAAGCAATCTTGAGATATCGTGGTCAGAAAATTGGGGAGAGAGAAAGAGAGAAAGAAAGAAAGAAAGAAAGAAAGAGGGAGAGAGAGAGAGAGAGAGAGAGAGAGAGAGAGAGAGAGAGAGAGAGAAAGAAAGATTCTGACAATAACAAGAGGTGATCCGCTAACGTTAGCGGATCACCAATAAGGCTTTGCCTTAGTTTCCATGAACTTGCCAACTTCGCCAACTTCACCACCTCTGCTTGTTTTCCTTTGAATAATTACTTTTATACATAGTACCGTCAACTTTAGCAGCACCTTCAAACATAAATCACAAACTACTGCCTATATCATGCTCCCATCTTGGGCTAGCATCTTTTTCGGGCTAACATCATAAGCATATCATCGTAAGCATATAAACTCCACAACTCAGGCAGTAGGTCCTTTTAAATTTTGTTCTTGTATTTTATAGTGCACAAATTGCAGTGGTGCTCTCCATTAGCTTACCACACTTTCTTAAACCTTAGGTGATTCAGCTTGGGCATGTCTACTGCACCAAACCCTTTCAGTTCACCTTCTATCACCTTTCCTGTGCAACTGTCCACAGGATAATTCCTATCCTACCAATTTGATCATAAATTACCATAATTACACACTTCACTTGGAGGTATTATTGAGAAGGAGATCACTCGGCAAAGCTACGCGCACGCAGTGCTATGCAAATGAACCAAGATCAAAGTTGCCGCAGCGCGTAAAGAACGTTTGCGCGATGCCTTTGAAGTCCCGTGTGTTCCCCGCCATCAAATTTTCAACAGGCATAGTTGACCAAAAAATTGAACATGACGAATTGAAGAGCACCTTCTTTTCTCAATCACTGTCAATCACTATGGCTGCGCAATCTTTTCTATTTTGAAGCTGATACATTCATCTCTCATAAAATATCAAACATATTAATATTTTCCACCAAGAAAAGTTTCGAATTTAATGGAACATTTACATGACCTATAAAA